CTTGCCGCAGGGAGACGGGGAGTTCAATTAATTATTCCAGGCTCGTGTTTATTAGGAACTCCTGATTAATGGGCTTGACTTCATTTCCCAGTTGGAAATCAGGTGACAGTGCTGATAAGGGAAATAAAAACCTCTCATTGCCCTCAGTGAGCAGCTTTGGGAGCACCCAGTGTGTGAGGCCTCGGGGGGCAGCGGGGCACCGCCCGGGGGGGCTGGGGCTCAGGGCTGCCCGGGGAGCCCACTGTGCCCGCTGCCTGCCCTCTCCTGGGTACAGGTTTGGCTCTTAGGGGTGGGGACCCCTTCTTTACCCTCTCTCTCAGCATGGGACAATAGGGGACATTGCTCCCCCCCACACCTGATGTCACTGAGATTTTGCTGCAATAAGGTGACATCACTGTGATGGAATGACATCACTGTGATGGTGTGACATCACCAGGAAGCCAGCAGAGCTCAGGCAGCAACAGAGAGCCGCAGCACTGAGTCAAGCAGCTGGACAGGGGCCAAACCCGCCGCCCCGCACCCGGGCAGCTGCCCATACTTCAGATGGCATCGGCAATCCCTGGGGGTACCTCATTGCGTTCTGGGGGTGCCCACAAAGTCCACCGTGACCCTGCCTTCCCGAGGAGGCTTTTCCATGGGTGACATGGGCTTGAGCTGCCCTTCTCCCGGCTCTCGGGGTCCCACATATCTGCCCAGGTCGCCGGGCCAGGGGCTGCCGGCAGAGCCCGGCAAAGCGATACAGCCCTTGTGCAGGTTTTGATTTGCGAAGCCGCATGAGAGCGGCACGTTAGCAGTTCATTTTATAATGAACTGGAGCATGTACCCCATATGTGTTCTGTACCATACGTGTGATTTCATAGCTAGTAATTAAGTCCATATGTTGTGCTCCGCAGTTTCCATGGTATTATTGTCAGGATTTTTTGGGGTTGTAATTTTTTTTTTTTTGTGGTCAGTTGTGCAAGAAAATAGTTGATACAGGGATCTGAATACATCTCCTTTGAGTTAGCCGCTGGCAAGCTCTGCTGTTTCTATAGAAATGAAGGAACTGACCCAGTGAATTTACATTTTAGACAGCTGGGTTTTTTTCATGTCTGTGCCATTTAACGTGCCATCATGAATAACACTGCAAAGCTCTCATTTGTGCACCCTGCTCAGTTGAAATTGCATCCATCTGTGATGGATATAGACCGTATTCTCCTTCCATCCCTTTCCTTTACTCGAGATTCTTCCCTTCTTTACTCTATGCCATGTGTTCAACACCCTCCCTAGAGCTGGCTGAAGTCAGACCAGGGTCTGGACGGCCATTTCTGCTGAGGAGCACCTGGGCTGTCCTGGGTCTTTCCTGGCTCTGGTCCTCCTTGTATCAACAGTGAAATCATGGGTCTAGGGTGAGACCAGCTCCATACCTTGGTGGGGAGGATGTTCCCTTTGCTTCTGGGCACTCCTGGCTCAAATCCTCGCTGCAGGGGAGCAGGGCTGTCCATGGAGGGTGGACAGCACTGGTGGGAAAGCTGGACAAACACCCAGCTTGGAAAAGCCAAGAGCCCTGAGATGAAAAGAAGACATCTCAGGTCTTCCTCAGCTGTTGGACACTTTGGGGTGGCTGCTGGCTGTTTTTCATGAGACTTCTGGAAACACCCCGGCTTTGGGAAACTTTGAAATACCTTTGTTTTTGGCAGGATGGGAAAGTTGTTTCCTACCCAGAATGAATCTGGCTCCAGTTTCAAACAGCAAGAGCTGAGAGAGATGGTGATGGCCATTTCCATCCCTGTCTGGCCATTTTTATTCCCTCTGGTTCTCACACCTTACCTGGAGAGCAGAGCCGGGCTGGGAGGACTGGCCACCCCGAGGGACGAGGGACAGGCCGGGCAATCTTTTACCTTGAGGTCACTGCTTCCACCCCAGACCCAGGCTGGGAGAGACTGCAAGTATTTACCATCTGGTGCCTGTCCAAGTGACTTGCGAGAAAAGAATTCAGGGCTGCCGTCCAGTTTCTGATGGTCAGGCAACTACATCAGAAAACCTCGGCTTCATCTGGGACCAAGTGACCCCTCCAAGCTCCCAGCTGCCGCGGCGAGGCCAACAAGGCAGCGAGCAACAGCCAGGCATTGCCCTCTCCACAGGAGAAAGGGTCTTTTGGATAGAGAGTGGCGTGTGGTGGTGGGACACTTGATCCTTCACCATTTTCCAGGCATTTTTAAGTAGTTTCATGAGAAAGAAGCGCTGATAAATGGGACTTGGTGCTGGTTCTAGTCTCGAAGTCTGACATTGCCAAGAGGAAGGAGCTGAGCGATTACATAGGGAGCAAATGGACTATCACAACCAAGAAAGGGCTTGCTTAGCTAAAGCTATAGTGAGATGTCATCATTCAGACTGAAGGGCTTCTCATTAGTACAGCCCAGCCTTGTGTCAGCTGTTGTGAAAGGACAACACTTTTTCTTAATAGACATATCAAACACTGGGCAGTAATTCTGTGTGATTTTTTTTTTGCTGCAGTCCAGACGAGAGCAATTCATAATTGTCCCCCTAAGTTAAACATTCAGATAACCCAAAGAATAAGACTTTTGTAAAACAAAACCTGTAAACTTCTGCCAGATGAGTCTTTCCATTAT